GCCCCCTGCAGCTGTTGAGGAGAGCGGTAAGCAGCCTCAGTCAGATCTCTGCATGGAACCAGTACATTTACCGCCTGTGAGGGTTTGTTTTTTCTTAACCGGTTGTTGCTCCGGTTACACTAACAGAACCTACAGCAGCAGCAGCAGAGCCCGCAGAGCCTGAAGCTGTGGCAGAGAGCGGTAAGACCAGCGAGGAGGACGGAGCGGGAAGACACGGACACTATTCCCCATTGTGTTCATTTCAAACACCTTTCCTCCTTTTCATTGTTTTTAGCATTCATTTCAGATCTTTTCCCTGCCTGTTTTTGTGTTTATAAATTGTTTGGGTAATGATAAAGGTTAACACACATGAGTAACATGTTATGAATGTTTCATACAGGAGGCAGCATAAACCTCGACTGTGCCCTTTCGGTGACACTATTTCCCATTTTGTTAAATTTCCCTTCTTTTTATATTTAACTTTTTCTCATTGCAGCTCGTTCGTGTATTCCTCACATTGTTTTGGTACTTGTAATGATCAAGGTTAATCTCAGTCACATTAACTTTTTTAATTTATTTTTCCATTTACTCCTTTCAGGTGTATTTGTGTGTAGTGATGAGCATCTAAGAATATGGACTGACTGTTTCTCTCTCTCTCATTCACACTCCAGGAGACTCTGCAGCTGCCTCTCTCAAGGTCCCCTCACACGCCCCCTACCTCCTGATTGGAGGAGGTACCGCCTCCTTCGCTGCCGCCCGGTCTATTCGAGCCAGAGACCCCGGTGCCAAGGTTAGCATTCAGTTCATCATTTACCTTGTTGTTCCTCAATTACATTTGTTGGTGTACATGTACTCTATCTGGCTTTTTAAATGTATTCTTGCCACCAGGTGCTGATTGTGACTGAAGAGCCAGACGCTCCATACATGAGACCCCCTCTTTCCAAAGAGCTGTGGTTCTCTGATGACCCCAGTGTGACGGAAACACTGCGTTTCAAGCAGTGGAATGGAAAGGAAAGGAGGTGTGTTCCCGTGTGGTTTTCCTTCCGTTCGTTTCTCTGTGGCCCTGTGCCTTCCTTACAATCTGTCTCTCCGCGGTGATAAGTGGTCATTACAATCTGTGTCTTACTGAGACATCTCTTCACTTTCATCTAAAACAAGGTGGACATCACCGTCCGTGGTCATTCGGAGTACTAAACTCTGTATACTGACTTCCCACTGTAAATTTGTATTATCATTTCATATATAAATATGTTCTAAGATGGTTATACCTTTTGTGTTTCCTTTGCCAGTATCTTCTTCCAGCCACCATCATTCTACATCACTGCAGAGGAATTGAGTAGTGCAGAAAATGGCGGAGTGGCCATTCTCACAAACAGAAAGGTTTGCTCTATTTGTTTTCCTTCCACAGTCAGAAACTATGATATGCTGATGTTTTGATCATTTACAGTACACCATAGCAGTATTTAAACCAATGGGATTTATGTTATTAATTGAAATGTACCTTTTCAGTGTATTGTGATTTCTGTCCACAATGTCTTCATCAATTTTAGGTGGTTCACATGGACGTGAGAGGAAACAAAATCAAACTGGACGATGACACTGAGATTTCATACGACAAGTGTCTGATTGCTACTGGTAAGCATCTTCAAAATGCATTTATTACCATGAGTGGTTTAAACCTGGTGCAAGCTCATTTTAACTCTTTGCTTCAGGTGGTGTGCCAAGAAATCTCCAGGTCATTGAAAGAGCAGGAGAGGAGGTGATGCAGAAGACAACGTTGTTCCGCAAGGTCAGTGTGTCGCCACAAGGGGGCGAGGACTTTGTTTCAGCCCTGGAAGGCCTGTGTAATTGAATGAAACACTGACACATTTTAGTTGTGGGAGTTAAAGTAAAGATGGAGAAATTGTGGAGAAATACTCTGTGAATTCATCAAAATACTTTTTTTGTTTAACTTTATTATAAAAATATAAAAACAGCAGGAAATGCAGGTGCTTGCCCGGCTAATATAATACCTTAATTTGCTGCAGTTGGTTCAACGTTTCCATTAGTTGTCCCACTATTTCTTATGGTTCAATAATTGCAGTATGATTTAATCTGCTGGAACGTCTTACCCATGTTAGGTATGCTCCAACACCATCAACCTTTATCACTTCACTTAAAACATTTACTTTAAGCTGTTACTTTCAGTAGGCTAATTGTCAGTCTAAACTAAGTATCTATGTATTTTTTATTTTTTTTGGTTACATGATCATTGGACTAATGTTTCATTATCATTCAATTTGATTATTTTTGGTTTTAATTCAAATGTTTTAATAATTGTTCCTTTATTTGCTGATCTTTAGAACTATTTTAAGTCCTAACACAGATGAGTTAACACACTTGTATAAGGCCACGTTTTTGTCTTGGTAACTGTTTGGTACATCACTACCACAGTAAAAAAATATGTATATATATATATATATATGTATATGTGTATATATATATGTATATGTGTATATATATATGTATATGTGTATATATATATATGTATATGTGTATGTATATGTGTATATATATATATGTATATGTATATGTGTATGTATATGTATATGTGTGTATATATATGTATATATATGTATATATGTATATATATGTATATATATATATATGTATATATATATATATGTATATATATGTATATATGTGTGTATATATGTATATATGTGTATATGTGTATATGTATGTATATATATGTGTATATGTATGTATATGTATATGTATGTATATATATATATGTGTATGTATTATATATATATATGTATATATATATATATATAATTGTATGTATGTATATATATATATGTATATATATGTATATATGTGTATGTATGTATATATATATATGTATATGTAT